AGTACGTATCACGATATACAAGCAATGTTTCTGATCTGACTTGCAATAGCTCGCATTTCAATACGGCCCACTTCATGAATCCGGATTTCCAGCCCGAGGAATGGTGCCCAGACGGGGAGTATGCGACCAGCAACAAAGGCCGCCACAAACATCCGTCGTAGCTGTCTTTCCTCTACCACCCTTGTACACATTTGCTCCTCTGGAGGTTAATTCCGACATCTCAGCGACTACTAGCGTCGGCGTTCATCGAGCTTGCGATTGCCTTTATCTGCTATCTGCATTATCACCCACATTGCTTCAATGCTTACGACGACCAACGATACCATTGTTAATCATTTCTCGGAACATTGCTCTGCTACGTTACCCTTGCATATGCAAAAGCGGCGGTGCTGCTAAGTGCCGGAACTCTTGACATACGGCGGCATACATCCTGGCATTACCTACAAATCGAACTTTTGGGCGAAGTCCTCTAATGCCGTTTCCTTCCTTGGGTTACGACGCAAGCTGCGAGGACCTACGACCGTGACGAATACCGAAGACTATCAACCTCAGGGTACCGACATTAGTGTTTATCATCGTTATGATTTTGGTCGTTCTGGAGTGTTCTCGACTGCCTATTTCCACCGCCCCCATCGGACATAAATATCCTGATTCTATACTGCACACACAACATTATTCGGTATCCGTGGTCTTCTCAAATCAAACCCTTGCTATTCGGACATTCTTCCCCTGGGCGAGAACTGTATGGACCCACTCGAGTGCGAAAAGAACGAAATTTTCTGACGTCGTAGTCGTGCTGTGACCAAGCGCTTCGTACCGGAGGGTTGGGACGCTGCAGGGTATCTATCGATGCTCGTGAACAAATCTGGCATCTTCGGCATGGGCCAACAGCCGATACATATCACGAGCACAAGCAATTTCAGATAGAAGAAGGAACTGCACAAAAACATAAAAAATGAGGTATCTCACAATTCCCAGTTCTCCGCGTGATTCCAAATGCTTGCCATGTCCCTGTCTGATATCTCGGAATCCTGCAGCGCCACAGGCCAACTGCCGTCGATAGTGGAGGATTTGTCGCGTCAAGCTCCATGCGCCTACCTGCATAACCCATTCTCGAAGCCGCCGCAATCCTTGTCCAAGGACAGACGGTCCCATGTGAATTACGCCTTTGCAACTCGGCCCTTAATTAGATGAGCCAATAGTGCAGCGTCCCCACATCCCTCGCGTTCCCCCCAAAAACCACACACTGTCAGACCTATAACGGCAGCTGTTAAGATGCGCGCTTTTCCCGCTCCCGAACGTTTTTGGCCCGCCCACCCCCCATGGATGGCGACATGGGCACTGGGCCGGCGCAACCCCGTTTACTGGCAAGCAGAGCGAGTGGTTAATTTGAAACAGCGGCCGCGGGATCAGCTGCTATGGGCTGGTACGTGCGGCCGGGTATGGAGTCGAAAAAGCAGCGGGCTAGTAGGGTTGGCACGGGGAATGGTCAACGCAGGTACCGTTTTCGCTTCACATGCGCGATTGGGGGGGGGGGGGGGGGAGGGGGGGGGTCAGGACGATCAGTATAGGA